AAGTGCCGGAAGGGGCGTCGCAGCGCCTTCCCCAGCCTGTGGGTTGGAGAGGGTTCTCCATCCCCGCCCGGCCCGGCCCAGGTGAGAGGGGGACGGGGATTTCGGTTAGGGAAACAGTCTTCCGTTTACCATGGCTGTGTCCCGGGAAAGAGCTGCAGTTAATGGGAGTGTCCGCCGGCTAGACCTCCCGTCCCGGAACCTTCGGCACCTAGTGCGGTGCCCGGGGCGGGGGCCCGTGTGGGGACCGGAGTGACGCTGCCCCTAGAGGCCCGCCGAGTTCCGGGCGGGGCGGCCCAGCAGGAAGAGGTTCCCCCGCTGGAGCCACCCTCTTGCCGTCGGGAACGTAAGTGTTTTCCCAGCGGCGTCCGGCTTAAAATGAGCCTCGCTGTGCTGCTGGCTAACTGCACGTCGTTCTTGGGTCTAAGGAAGTGTGTTTTCCACGGCTGAGCTAGACAGACACCCTCTTTAATGAAAACGTGTGTGTGCGTGCAGAGTCCTGCTACATGCATCCATAGTTTGTTTTTCTGGGTGATCGGATTGGTAACTTAAATCCGAAGGCAGGCCCGTGATTCGCTTGTACTTCCTACCTTTTTGAGAAGCGGGAACACACGTTTATTTTATGAAAGTAAACATGTTTACATTAATGTTGATGATACATGCTTTTTTAAAAAAAATTCTTGATTGTTGATAGTGTTGATGATACATGTTTAAAAGTGTTTTAGTTAAGTAACTTATTCCAAGCCATAGAAACTGATTATCATGTAAATTATTTAACACCTTCTTCAGATTGGTGGGTGGGTGGTGGCTTATGGTTATTATACAAGGTTAAGTTCATATCAGACAAGGTTCAGATTCCTGTGATTATTTCTAATTGAATACAAAATGTGGTAAATAAAACGTTATCATTTGGTGAAAATGGCATTGAAATTCTGGAATACCAGAGACAGGAGATATGAGACATTTACTCATTAAACTGCTTGGATTATATCTTTTGGGTTTTGATTATAAGCAGCTGCCTGGTGGGCCACAAATGTGACAGTATTACCAGAATGTGACTTTGATACATGTAGTTTAGTGTAGCATGTTACATGGTTTTCTGTACTTAAACAGTGGGGGGAAAAATTTCTTAATCAAATTTTAGCAAGTCTAGGATTATAGGCTAGAGTCATTCTTGAGACACTTCCAAATCTTTGTCTCTGTCCTCTAAAAGTTTATAATTTGAAGTTATGAGTTCCATTTTTGTAAAATAAGTGGATCACCGTGCATTACACAAGTCAGTCACCTTATTTGTAAGACGTAGTAATTCCTAGTGGAAGTGTGGTTGTGCGATTAGTGGTAAGTCAGTACTTGTCACATCGTTTGTATATTATGAATAGCAATGACCTGCTTTGTTTCCTTTTCCCGGTTCTGTTTCTTCTGTCATCATGCGTTTTCTTGTCTTTGGGATGTCCTATGTGAAGTGCCACTAACTGAAAACTATCAGTTTTGGCTGTGACAGCTAGGTTGAGGAGGGGTCCAGTCGCTATTGCATCTCACTGGAAGAGAATGGAGTATTGCAGCAAAGAGTGAAGTGGCTGAGTATTTGGGCACATATAATATTAAGATCCATAAGGAAACATTGGAAAGCTGCAAGACATCTCAGAGATCATCTGATCAGACTTTCATTTTATAGCTTAAAAATGGAGACCAGGCAAAATGCTTTGTCTTGCCCACAATTATGTTGTTCAGAACAGGAACCCATCTTTGACATTCAAAACCAAGTCTTTTCCCCTGTCCCAGCTGTTCCCCATCCTTTCACAACCCCAAACGCCTTTTATTATAATTTGATATCTCCCTGGGTGCCATGTTTTGAAAGATTGTGTCTACTAACGTATATTCATTAGTGGTGTGGTTTTTTTTTTTTTTTAAATAAAAATCAGGTCTGTAGCTACCAATCAGACCTTCTGATCAACGAATATGTGGTGAATAATGCTTCATTGATTTTAAGTCTCCTCATGTAGATGTGGCTGATATTGTTTGAGGGGGGAAAAATATTGGGCTTTGAATATTGAAATTAGCTTAGAGACCTCCATTACTATCTTCATAAAACTTTATAAAAACCTTAGATTAGGAATTGCTGAACTGTGTCATGTTCTTGATGCATTGCGATCTGCCAAGTGTGCTAAATAAATAGTGACTATGATGGTTTTCAAGGACAAAAGAAAACCCAACCATTCAGACTAGAATGATACATAAATATTTTCAGTTCATAGTAAATTGTATCAGCCCAGGACTAAAGCTGTGTTCTGTGTAGTATACACAGAATTTTTTAAAAGAATAATTGTGGAAAGGAAAATAATCTTAACTTCTGAAGTAGAGAGTGTATGAGATGAAGAAGGTGAAATTTAAAACCATAGAGTAAAAATGGCTTCTGAATCATTTGCATCTTTTTGGGGGGGGGGAAGAGGGGCAAAAATGATTGAATTAAAAATTGTTTTAATTACAGACTTAAAACTGATAGGTTTTGTATTAATACAGGGACTGTTGTATAGATCTGGCTAGAATGTGCACTAAAAAAACTTAAGTTTCCAGTTTCCTGGTATGCCACGTCTCCTGGGAATGGCTGAGTAATTTTCATATTGAAAAGGTAATTTGGAGTGATCTGCTTTAAAATAAAGGAATATACACTGATAGATGTGGCGGGAGAGACGGTCCAAAGCACGAGAGAATCAGAATAGCCAAAACAGAAATAACATGAGGCCTAACGTAGTATCATTGGAAATGTATGAAAGACATGTCTATGCTATGAATAGAAAACAGTGTTTTCGAACATGAGCCCAAAGCATGTCACAAGCTGCCATTCCATATTGGCTGATTTACAGTCGAGCTTCTGGCCATGGGGCTGCTCCGCTTTGCAGGCTCCTCAGTGAGTTATTTGTGCAGAATGTTGGCTCCATGAAGTTAGGCATTTTTGCCTTTTGTACACTGCTGTCCCATGTCTTGAGTGCCTGGCACACAGTGGGCATGCAAAAGATCCTGTGGATAGGGAAAAGCAACGGTGGTTTCAAGCATAGAAGAACCCCAGTTATGCTAAAGCTATATTTGACATTTGTTACTACACTTAAATCCTGAAATGGGTAATGAGCCTAAAGGTATGTTATACGCCAGTATCAAAGTCATGATGAAACTTATTATTGCTCCCCTCGCCCTGCTTTTCAGAAGAGTAGAAATATTTTTACTAATAACATCACATCTGTTTTTTAATATTGGTGTATGTTATATGATGTCCTTTGTGCTAATAGAGCGTCTCAAGATGACCTCCATTCCAGCTTTTCAAGTCCTCAGGCTGGTGTAGGGGTGCATCCAGGTTTCCTGGGGCTGGGAGCCTATGTAATTTGGGGTCTCTAAAAACAAGGAATACATATTCTAAATATAAAATTAGGTATAGTGTCTTGTGCAAATGAGCCCTGAAGCTTAAGCCCCATTATCTTCATGCTGATTTGTTTCTGGGTCTATTGCTCTATTCAGAAAACCAGACACCTACATTTTTTATAGAAACTTCATGTCAGCCTGTGGAAATCAGGGAAGTCAATGATTTGCATCAATTGTTAAGCGAGTACACTTCAAACATGAGAAACTTCAAAACGACCTTATGAATGAATGCTGCCATCCGTGATAGAAATGATCAAAATGCACAAGCCACAGGAATAATAACAGCAGAAAAGAACTTAGCACTGATTGAGCCCCTAGAACCTCCTAAATACTGTTGAATGTTTTCATGGCTTTATCTCATTTAATCCTCAGAATAAGCCTGTATGCCTTATTATTACAGATGAAAAAATGGAGGTATTAAAAATGATTTCCATATACTAGTAGTATATGGTAGACACAGGATTACAGTGGGAGCAGTTATATGTCAGGCCCTTCCTCTTAAAAAGTCAAGAGATTGTTTTGGTGAGGATGTTTCTGAGAGCTAACAGCTGATGAGTCTGGACCAAAGTGGCAGAAAGTAAGATCGGATTCTTTGGATTTGGGAGGAGGTCCTTAAAGTTATTAGGAATCCATTATTCAGAGTTATGGAAAAGCCCATGCTGTCTTTGTCTCAGAGATTAATGGTGGTGGCTTTGTTACTAGGTTCATTAATCACAATACGGGGTAGAAAACTTAGCAGAAAAGATTTCTATTCATTTTATTCCTTCAGGTTGACAGTAATCATGAGCAGTACAACCAACTTCTCTGTTTCAGGCAACTTTTAAACAAAATGGATTTGGCTCAATATGTATTCTAAAATAGACTGTGCCATTATAGTGAAAATGTACTCAGTTATCTTAATGGGAACAAATTGACTACAACTCCAATTTTTAAACATTATTTTTATTAAACACTAATGTTTCTACAAATGGACAGTATAGCTAATGCTAAATATTATTTTGGACTTTAATATTAGTTTACCAAATATAGTATGTTTTTGTTAAAATGTTAGGACTATATTCCATTTAATACTAGTTTAGCGAATAGTATAAAATTTTAATCTAGGATATCCTTTTCACCATCACACTTTCCTCAAACTACTTGTACAGCTTAAAAAATTTCTTTTTGAATAATTGTTTTCCTGCTCCGTAGTAAGTCCCCTGAATGTTTTATATATCCCAATACAGGTGAAACATTCAATTTTGTTTTCTTCTCTAGTTGGTATAGCTTGAAATATAGTAATATAGTTCTTACATGGCCTGCAGGGCATATTGTTAGGTTCTTACCATTCTCGAGCAATGGATGTTTTTACTGGATTTCCTTTTTTTTAGGCAAAATTATGCATATAATAGAGAATCAAGGTCCTATATTCTTAGGTCATTCACCTATAAATGTATCTTGTAACAACTTGCTAAACTGCTTTACACTTTTTTTTTATACAAGCAAAGTTTAATTTTAATATGGAGGGCATATCCCATTATAGATTTTTTAAAAAGTTTAGCTGGACTGTTCCCAAACTATAGGTATATTTATTAGACTCTGGGATGTCATTTAATGGTTTTAAAATTCTTTGCATGCCTACTTTAAATAGGTCTAAATTCACCCTTTTCCCTTTAGAAGAAAAGATGTGGAGTGGGCTGCTACCTCCTGGCCTAAATGAAAGTGATGTTGAGTTGAATTCTGAAGATGAAGACACAATAGAGAACTCTGGACCTGACTTACAGGAAGATGAAGAAGATGGGACCATTACAGAAACAGAGATCACAGATTTCCCTGCAGAGGGACCAAACACTGAAGCAGAGACAAATGTGAATGCATATGAAGAGTGTCCTTCTGGAGTTCCCTTACATATATGGAATGTAGGTTTTCTCTGATGTGTTCCTAGTATAGCCTGTGTCTCTCTGCCATGGTCAGAGTGTACATGTTCTTGGGAGGTAATAGGTAGGAAAATTCACCCAGAATTCTTTTATTACCAGGTGGGTCTGTAGTCATTCCATTGGCTATTCAGATATTTGCTTTCATTTTTGTTTTGTTTTTCATAAATAGGGGAAGAAAACATTTAGTAAGATTAGCTACTTTGCCTAACATGATACAGGAGGAATTTCTATCTTAATTTATCTTTTTGTTATCTATGAGTCATTGAATTTTACTCTCAGATTATCAGTTTGACTTATCTAGAAATATTTAGAAATAAAGTAAGATGAAAACTCAGGTTGTGAAAGAGCCTTGGAGAATTTAGTATCTCATGAAGAACTTAAATATGTGTTTATAAATACTAGAATATAATAGTTTTATTACTTGTTATTTTTTGATGTATGTGTTGCTTCAAAATATATTTGCTTTTTTTTTTTTTTACTTTTATGTAGAAATTTCAAGAATTGCATAAAAAACATTCTGAACAGAAAATCTCATCTTCAAGATTCAGAAGGAAAAAAAGAAAACGCTCCAGAAAAGGTATTTTGCTTTAATTCAGATTAATTGTCAATAGTGCTAATGTTAAACTGCGACTAACTGAGCTCATTAATTTTTAATAAATGTAATTTTGAAATAACAACTAAATACTTAGCTATTAACATTGTGAATTCTTTTCAGGTAAATTGAAGAATGAAGAAGAATCTCATAGGTAGGTGGAATTGAAAATATTTGTCTATTCTAGTTAGTATTTGTAGAATTTGTACAAATAAATTAATTACCTCTGAAACATAAGAACTAGTTGTTGTAATATAATTGTAGTAACCAATTAAAAACAGTAAAGATAAAAATTTAGTGCAAAACATATTGTTTATCTTTTTATAGTGAACAGTCCCCAAGTGAAACCCAGTTGAAGGAACTTACTCAGTATTTTGGAGTCAATGACAGGTTTGAACCCCCTGTTAAAAAGAAAAAAATTGAGAAGGTAAAGTGTCGTGTTTTTTTTTATTGCATCTTATATTACTCAGTAGAAAATGTTTGTAATTAACCTTGCCAAAGGTAGTTCTCATTAAGTGACTATTAAAATGCCTTCTATGTGCCAAACAAGGTGCTAGATAAAGAAGTAAAAATATAGTTACAAATCATTAACAAAAACTGTTAAGAAGGAAATGAATGGGGTATTGTGAAGAAATTCAAATGGAGGCCCACTTTAGCTTGTTGTGGTCAGGGAAGACCTTTCTCAGAAGATGCCATTTCACTGAGACCTGAAGGAGGGAAGGAACCATCCAAATAAGGAATGCTAGTGCGGAGTGATAGCCTGGATCAGAGGTCCTCAAACTACGGCCCGCGGGCCACATGTAAATACAAATATCGTATTTGTTCCCGTTTTGTTTTTTTACTTCAAAATAAGATATGTGCAGTGTGCATAGGAATTTGTTCATAGTTTTTTTTTAAACTATAGTCCGCCCCTCCAATGGTCTGAGGGACAGTGAACTGGCCCCCTGTTTAAAAAGTTTGAGGACCCCTGCCCTAGATCTTCTCAGTTCTCCTTCCACCAGCAGGTCCTGCAAAGGTGGATGCAGAAGGGATGGGATGGGCACGGCAGTGTCTGTGGCACCCTGGTTCCAGGCCTGAGCTGACCTCTGAGATCAGTCACTGGTCCCTTAATCAAAGGATAGAGATCCTAGGGAGGAAAGAGTCGTTCATCATCGGACATTGGAGTCACTGGGTCAGCCTGGCTGGAGTGCAGTTAGTGAGGAGGAGGGGGCCCAAGATAAGACTGGAGAGGCCGGCAAGTAGGGAGCAAACTCTGGGACCTTCAGGGGCAGAGAAAGGAGTTGGGTTTTAGTGACAATGCACTTGAGAGTCATTCAGGGGTTTTCAGTTAAAAGGAGTGACATGATCTAAATTATGTTTTAAAAGATTGCTATTATGTGGAGAATGGACTGTGGGGCAGCAAAAGTAGGTGAGAAGAGAGCAGTTAGGAGACCCTTCTAGGCATGAGGTCATCTTGGACAAGAATGCTGCTGCTGAGGCTGGGGAACAGTGGGAGGATTTGAGGTATACGGCAGAAATAGAATTGACAGGATTTGCCTCTGGATTGTTTGGGAGGTAGTGGGGAGGATTTGGAGAATGAGGAGGGAAAGAGCCATTCACGGTTTTACCTTAAGCATAGTGATAATAGTTATGAAGGTGGGAAAGCTTGGGAGGGGAGAAGATTTAGAGTGGGGCCTCCAGAGTTCAGTGTGGGGCGTGGGTGATATCAGCAAGCAGGAGGAGAATAGACTGTTGGTAAAATGAGGCAGGAGCTTGGAGGAGAGTCAGCTTTAGAAACACATTTGGGAGTTGTCGGTCTTTATATAGATGATTAATACTGAGTAGAGGTTTGAATGCATGAGTAACTTACATATTCACATGCAGGAATGATGGACAGATTCCAGCAGCATGAAAACAGACCCCTGAGTGGTAGGGCTAGAGCACAGGGTCCTGCCTGGTGAAGCCCAGGTATACTGTACCTTGTGTGTGCCTCCTTCGTGGGTCATTACTGTAGATGACTGTGTGCATAGAGATCATTACCATTTTCTTATTAATCAATATTTCTCATGAAAAACCTGATTTTCACCCATTGGGTGGTGGTGCATCATTGAGGGCATGTGCATTAGGAACTCACACAACAGAATTTTACATGTGAACTTGTGGTTCCAGCTTTGTCAAGTAGAGGAGCTGGACTGTGACCTCACCAGCCATGCTCTTTGTCAAGTGCTGTTAGCTTATGGTGCTAGGTGATGGAAGTGTTTACCTAAGGATGATTTTGTACTAATGTAAGCATTTGGAATGTTAATATCTTCTAAAAGAGCTAAAAAAAAGTTGAACATGTAAGTGTAATTCTAGGATTTTATTTCTAGGAGAGGGTTTTGGTCATCCAAGCCAATAACTGGTTTTTTTAAATGAAACAGACACTTAAGAATTAAGTACCTCATTTATCCAGAGCTGTGACCACATTTCCTGACTCCTAATCCAGTGTTTATTCTATGATATTATGCCATCTCCCTTAGACGCTACTCCAAACGGCTGGGTAATGGAGGTTGATTGATGGTGAAGAGATACATTTATAATTTTAGATGATTTATTTTTAAGTGAAAAGTATATTTTTAGGCTCAGCAGTTCATACAAGTTTCTAGAAGAGGGGAATGTTCCTGTTTCCCCCTTTGTGACATTAACTTGTAAGCTGTGGCCCATCCATGGTAGCCAAAGGGAAGTAGCAAGTTGACTGAATAAACAGACCACTGGTTTATTCTTGGGCATTGGTGGAAAAAATAGGTTGGATTCCTCTCTGCTCGCTGACCTGTGTTATTCTACGTCTGGAGTAAGGGATTGTGGCACCCAGATGATCCGTATCTCAGGAAGCCTACCTAATTGGAGGGACACAGCAGAGCTGCCATGTGGAATACGCAGGACAGGCTCGAGAATGGATGCTGTTAGACCAGGTTGCTGAGGTGAAAGACTGGAGAGCAGGTCCGGGTGGAGGTGTCAGGCTACCCCAGAATTTGTGGTGCAGGGAAAATTAAAGTTTGATATTAATGTTTTGTTTTCACATATCTCAGTGGCATTTGAGGAGATACCTAATGTTCTATGTAGGAAGGAGAGGCCATTGTTTTAGTATTTCTTAAATGAAAATAGTTTATTTTGACTGTAAAAAGAAATATTAATTAAAATATTCCAGGTACAGGTACTGAGATCCTATTATGAAGGGAATTGGGTGCTATTCAAAAGGAGTAAGAAAGTGGTATTGTTTTAAGCTGGATAATGACATGGTATCCGCTTAAGAAAGATAGAAGACCACTTTGGAGATGGTTATAATCTTTCAAACGAGATTATGACGCCCTGAAGAAGCACAGAAAGGAGAAATGAGAGACACTACAAAACAGTTAAATTAAGAGCACAGAATTGGAGGCATTGAAGCTGACTGAGGATTTTATCAGGGGTGACTGATAGGGTAGTCAGCTCTAAAGGAGGAGCAGGCGGGAGTGAGGAACTTGTTTTTAGACATAATTAAAAAAGGGAGGACGCTACCTTCAATATGAAGATAACTAGGAAGTAGCTGGAGCTGTAGATTTTGATAAGGTGAAAGGTCAGATGCTTTAAATTATATAGAGATCCAAAGCAGCTTATAAGAATTAATTGAAGGCCTAGGATTGAATTATGGTGTGAAATGAGAGTAAGAAGAAGGGGTCAGTCACAGAAATCACAGGAGTGCTGTCACTAAGGGGCAACAAGAGATAAGGGACTTCAAAGGAGATTGAAGATAGATATTTGGGGGGGATAGAACGTGGATGTAGTTAACATAAAAGATGCTCAGGTAAAAGGACAACAGTTGGTGTCTCCTGTGACCATAGACTCTGGCTTAGAGGGTTAAGGAATGAGATGACATCAGGGCAACTGGTCAGAGTGTTTTAGAAGAGAGAGAAGTGGTGCTAACATAAGAAGAAATGAGTTTGAGGAAAGAGGCTGAGTCATCCCATCTAGTCCCTGGTCCAGAGCGGGGAGGACAAGCTTGTTTGTAGGATGAAAGAAAGATGAAGAGAGAGGGGGTAGGAAGTTTAAAGAGCAAGGTTCTGGATAGCATGAAAGCAGATGGGATTGTGGTGAGCACAGGAGGTGGGGTTAGTCTTGCAAGGGAGATGATTCTTTCCTGGGGGCAGTAAGGAATGAAGAACAGAATACCTGAAGATAACTTTTTTGAGGTGGATGAGAGGAAGATTGTAGAAAGGACATACATATCCTTGGTTCTTCTTTTCCCTCCCTTCTCCCGCTCCCGTAAAGTGGGGGTAGAGTTACAGTCTGAAAAGGAAGGAGGTGGGGTTGAGGGTATTTGGAGTAATGGGAGAGACATGTAACGTGTCGTAGAGGCCTGTGGAGCCTGTCAAGGGCAGAATTGAGAGCCCACCCAGCTGGATTGGATAAAGGGCTTTTAGCGAAGCCAGTGGGTTGAGTTATTTGACTTTCTCTGACATTGCTGAAGCACCTAGATGTGAAAGTAGTCGAAAGAAATGGTGGGGAAAGCCTAAACAAGGTAAGATGTTGGAGGAACGGAAGGCATTGCTTAGGTCAGTGGTTCTCAAACTGTAGCCTGCTACATAGTCTTTGCTAGCGAATGTTTGTTTGCCTGTCTTTTCTGCCTTTAAGTTTCAGGTTCTGTTTCTTTCTAGTCGGGCCTTGAAAAGAGCATAGACCAGGCTGTGGAAGAGTGGAATATTGAGAAGGCCGAGGAGCTCAGCAACCAGCTAGCTACCCGAGAGGTAAGTCAAACCTTTCTTATTTCCAAATTTTCTAAAATGAATGTACATTTTTTATGATCATAAGTAAGTTCAGTATTCAGATTTTTGACCTACGATTTTCCTTCCAGTCCATTTTCTTCCCTCTTGTTCTGCCATTTATTTACAAATATCTTTGTTTTTAATGTTTTTAAATTAAGTCTAAAGCTTACGGTGGAAATACTGCATGATTTTACCTAGTTCAGAGACCTTTTTGCCCCTTATGATGAAAAGGCTAGCGGCTAGCTTTCTTCTGTTTGCATCATTACCTCAGTTTAACTCTCCCGGAGGAGAGTTGATATAACTCTGTGTGTTGTAATGCCACATCTCTCAATGTTTTTCTAACACTTGCTCCCCAGAATGCATTCTTATTTCATATTCTGCACATTTCCCTCAGCTCTAAAGAATTTTCAGTCTTTAAAAAAAAAAAAAGGTATAGTTTATAGTATAAAACTAATAGATATATTGAATATTCTTTTCCCAAGTACCAGGCTTCTGGAAGATTCTGACTTGCACCTTCTGGGAGGAATCACTGCCAGGTGTTGCTAGGCAAGGGCACACGTAAAGAGCTCATATTGGCATATGTGGTGTTGTTGCTATTGTTTTGTAAATTTTTTTGAGTAAAGAGCTCATATTGGTATATGTGGTGTTGTTGCTATTGTTTTGTAAATTTTTTTTGTCCTTGCTACTATAGCTTTCACTTTTAGCATCTCTTCCCTTTCTTCATTTTATTCTTAAGCTGTAACTGGTCCATGGGGTTCGAGTATGTGGACAGCAGCATCAGTCATCTGTGTAAACTGTTGGCCATGTATACTGTTCTTTCTTACTCACCTACAGGTGAGCATTTTCTAACTGAGACGAGTGATGAAATTACTATTTTAACAGATTTTTCTATGGAAATACTATTTCACTCTTACATCATTAGATGTCAAAAATCTATCGATGGCTGTTTGTTTGTTTTCTATTTTTGGCTGCTAGCTATAAGTATTTTGTGAGGTTTGTATTTTTATGTCCAGTAGTGAGGCTTAGGGGTTTAGAAGTTATCTTTCTTTCCTGAAGCTTAAATGATGCCCTGGGAGGAGACGGGTCACCTGTGGCTGGTGGCAGGCAGCGGCTGCTTGTTCACTCCACCTGTCTGCCTCGCCCGTGTTCCTCGTGAGCTTTCCTTTCTCTGCCTGCGAAGCTGCCCGTGAGGCTGCACAGACATGTGCCTTGGAGGCTTCAGAAATGAATGTTTCCTTGGCGGGTATTCGGTTTCTAGTTCTGTGTTTTGCTTTGTCACACTGCTGTTTTGGAAGTGGGAATTGTATCATACAGATGAGGTGCTTTCCATTTTAAGGGCTGTTATTTTCTGTCACACTTACGACAAATGCGATTGCTATAGGAATACATGGTATTTTCAGCATTTGTAAGGATAGTAAACATTTTTCTCAAGTGCCCTTTTTACAGTCATACAAATATAATGCTTTGTTCTACTACAATAAATTTATTTAGTGTGGGTTGAGGATTCTGATGAAAAGAAGACAATAATTTGAGTCCTATTCTTGTCTTTGTATAAGTGGGAAAACATCTGGAAGGTGTTTGCTGTTCAGACACAGACATTGGAAAGATACTGATGCTATGTTAATTAAGTGCCCTTGAAGAATAAAGTAATCAAGATGGAATTTCTTAATAAATAGTTTAGTTTGAGATTTAATTTTTTATATTTATCCCTTTGCTGTCAAACACTGTGGAGATGAGAGATGGGATTTTGAGAAGGAGGTAATTGTGAGTTGGGACAGAAACCCTTTGTAATTAAATGTATACATGTGTGGTGAGTACCCTTTTGGAAATCAGGTATGTTGGTTTTTAATCAGGAGCATTTTCTTTTTTCAAGAAGCAGTGACTGGGGCCAGCTGATAAAGCCTTTGCTCAGAGGCACAGATCCCAGAGTTCTGTAAGCCTTTTCTAACCATAATAAGTGAAACTAATTTTTGATGTTTAACATTTATAAGCCTGTGAAACCAATAGGGTAGGACCAGTACTGAGAAAAATGAAGCCAAAAGTAGAACAATGTTTGGGGATGGGCCTTGAATACAGTTCCTCCAAAATATGCCAAAATAAGGCTGTCAGTACCCTGTGGTTGTGACACAGCAAGCACTTTTTCTCCAGAATCACCTTCCCTTAGGACCTAAGGGAAGCATTTTGAAAAACCCTAACTTAACTCTGGTGCCGTGTCACATATAGAAATTTTTTGATATTTGCAACCATAGTAAAACAAAGATTTATGTTTTTGATATTTATTTTATATATTTAAATGCCATTTAACAAAGAAAAATCAACCAAAAAATGAGTTCGCGTGTCATCTCTGACACGCATGTCATAGGTTCGCCATCACTGCCTTAGGTTAACCGTAAGGATGTCTGTGATCTGAATTTGTATAGAAACAGGTTCAGTGTTTAGAGCCTAGATTGTGCTGTTACCTCTGGTTTTGCCATGTGGTAATGTTGCTTTGGGACTCCCTACAATTTTGGAGGAGAGATGAAGTGAAAAATATACTTGGGTTTGTGTCATACTGATGAAACTGTTTAAGAAGTTGTTTTTTAAAAATATTATTTATACACACACACACACATATTTGTACTAATTTGCAAGGTATTGATATTCACATCTTTGCTAAAGCCTAAAACATTCATTTGGAGTAATGATATAAACTGTTGATATTTTAAAGCTTTTTGCTCGAGTTTGTGAATGCAGGACAAAGGCAATGACTTCCATCATTAGTGCTGTTGGATATAGTATTTTTTTAGAACCTAATCAAGGTCTCACAGTATAAATGATAAAAATATCCCATTATAATACTACTTTTTAATAGATAAAAATACTACGTTTTTAGTTTTTAAAATAGACTACTTAAATGTTTGGATTCTAAAACATAGGTAAAGTTAATGTTGAAATAATAATAGTTTGTTAATATTTAAAATAACAAAGGTAGGAATGGCCTTTAAAAAAAGTTTGAATTGATTGAGTTATATTTTTTCCTAGCTAAACACATTAAGTGCTGTCTTAAATTTAGGCAGGTTATTAATTTGGAGCATAAAGCTCTGTTTTTAGAGCAGTTTCCTAGAAAATCTGAAGGCATTCTCATTGAAGAGGGGTATATATACATTGAAGGATAGTTTTTGCATTTTGTACGAACATCTAAGAAGTGGTCCTTCATCAGAAATGCTTCGGATCCAGAGTGCTTATTCTGGCTTTCAGAATTTTCCCAGTACAGTTCACTGTGAGGCTTCGTTTCCCTGTGAGGATTCTGGCTACAGTTCACCCTTTTTATTCTGGTTTAGTTTTATGGTGATGTACGTGCCATGTTGTCTTGATGGAATAAGAGCTTGAATTACTGCCCCCTCTTTGAGACCCCCCCCCCCCAAAAAAAACCCACCTCTTCCCAAATAATTTTGATAGGTTTAGCTATCAAAGCACATGAAGCATTATCATATCTAGAGTCCAGAAATGAAACATTTGTTTACATTTTTGGAATAGAAATGCTGCCAAACTTGGTAAGTTTAAAGTCACTGCCCATCAATGCTATTTTCAGAGCTCTAACGTTTTAGGAAAAGTGTTCACATCACGTGAAAGAACCTGAACTGAAAGATGTACTACAATGAAGGAGATTTTGTGGTTCTAAACCTTTAATTCTGTAATCCAGAGAGCAGAAGTAGTTTCTTCCTATTTTTGTACTATTTTCAGAGCTCTAACATTTTAGGAAAGGTGTTCACATCACGTGAAAGAACCTGAACTGAAAGACTACTACAATGAAGGAAATTTTGTGGTTCTAAACCTTTAATTCTATAATCCAGAGAGCAGAAGTAGTTTCTTCCTATTTTTGTGAATGGGTAGAAATATCTTAACCATGTTTCCAAAGTAAAATAATTCGATATGAAGCTGAACATATATTCCAGTGAGCTACTGTAAGAACCTGTGACCTTATGAAGAATGGCAGGTACTTCCCATTTTCTTAATTATTGTGATTTCTAGCCACTGAAGATTGTGTAAACAAAGTAAAAGTGCATTAAATATTACTCATTTGTATATATTAAGAATTTACAATTAAATATCTCCATTTCATTATTTTATATTTGTAGAAATGACATTATTCTGTTAATCTAGTACCAGGGGTTTATATGAAGAATACATTATTTCATTATAAAGTCATTAATGCCTGCTAAATATATTTTATGGCCTTCTTTGAAATTTTACTACTCTGACTTCTGTCTTCTTTTTTTTTTGGCAGTTAGACAGTAGAGTTTAGGGCCATTTTCTGTGTGATACATTTCACCGAGTAGCAGTGGGAAAGGACACAGGGCTCCGGGGAGAGAAGAGCTCCCACTCGGTCCGTAGGCTTCTGTCAGCTGGTCAGCAGCGTGATCAGCTTCCTGGGCAAGTTCGCTCTCAGCCCCCTGGCGGGTATGTGTCTGTCAAGGATCATCTAGAACTGACTCCCTTTCATTAACTTTGGTTGTCTTAGTGGCTTTTTAATTTAAATGTTCGCCTGTGTATCGTTTTGTAGTCTGCGCATAGAATGGGAGGCTTTTAAATGGTGATTTAAATACTTTTGAAGCCTTGTTCTCCTTAGTTTTTAGAAGTAATTCAGTTATCTCACATAGATGAATAATTAGCACAAGGTATGAAAAATAAACTATTCCTATGCAGGTAAGGAAAGACTTCATTGAGTTCCTTTACATTGAGGTTCAACATATGTTCATTCTCACTAACACATTGTGTGCAGCCTTGAAGTTGGAGCATTTTCACATGGGAAAAGCAAAAATGGTACTGAGTGTGGGTTCTCCTCGCTTGCTTAGATTCATCGCATTGAGGATGTTTTAACCTTTGAGGTATGAGTGGATGATCACCTAGAATGGTGTTCCTTATGCTCCCTTTTCATTATGTTTATCTGTGCTTTTAAAAAACCTTAAAAAAAGATTTCAGATGTTACAAGTCTAATTAAA